ACCAGGACAAGTTACATACAACTACACGATCATCTTCATCGACGCCGCCACCCGCTACGTCTGGCATCTAAACCTTCGTAGCCGCGACATGGCATTCGCAGCCTTCGTTGCCTGGCTACAAGTAGCAGAGAGAGAATCGAGCGTACAACTGAAAAGCTTCCAGTCAGACGGAGGAGGAGAATACACCTCTCAGCGATTCAAGCAGTACCTGGCGGAAAGGGGAATCAAGCAGCTCATCTCCCTTCCCTACGCCCATCAGCAGCAAGGAGTAGCAGAAAGAATGAACACGACCCTGCAGAACACCATGCGAAAACTGTTACGTGGTATGCGGCTACCCAACCACCAATGGCCTGCAGCAATGGACCACGCTGTCATCACCAACGAAGCAGAACGAGTAGAACATAATTTGCTACCGAACATTTGCTGTCGTCGTCATCGCTTCCGAACAACGCATCACCGCATCTGCTATGGACAGGGAAACAGGGCAGCACAAAAATGTTACGAGTTTTCGGGTGCATAGTACAGTACCGACCACCAGCAGCACGAGCGGGCCGATTTTCTCAATGAGCACAGTGGGGACTACACCTGGGCATCGAAAATAACTACAACGCGTAGAAAATCTTCGAAGTCCACTCCAAGGAAATAGTAGCGGCACGTGACGTAATTTTCTACGAACGACTCACGCTCCAGACATACCTTGCCAACTTGCAAGAAGACGAAGATCCCACAGGTGGTCTACGTGGTGACCGAGCCTTCGCCTTAGCAGCGGACGAAGCAGACTGGGATGAGCAGAATGTGGACAACGCATCAGAAGAAGTCGGACCTCTTCCGTTCTGCTCCGTCAATGTTCCCATGGACAAAGACAACCCTCGCAAAAGTGCCAACTCCGAAACCTTCTACCATTTCGCCGACAACGGTTACGTAACACCTGCGACAATCAAAACCAACGAAGCAGAACGAGTAGAACCAAATTTCATACCTCTAGAAGCGGGAGATGAAGCAGCTTATCTCGACGATGTAAATCTTCCCCGCTACTCATAGAGTGGACTGCAGATTCTCGGGCTCGTCACCGCAGTCCACGGCTCCGTCACTCCTAAAGAGCCTGCGACGGTTCAGCAGGCTCGGGGGGGGGGAACATAAGGAAAAATGGCGCGAAGCCATGGACAAGGAGCTGAAGGCACTAGAGGAACGCAACACGTGGAAGGTGGTTCCCATCGGCGTGGCACGGAACAAGACAGTACTCACCGGGAAGTGGGTCTTCCGTGTGAAGACAGAGGCCGACGGCACCATCGACAAATTTAAGGCACGTTGGGTCGTACGCGGCTTTGACCAAGAGCACGGACACGACTTCACCAAAACATTCGCTCCGGTCAGCCGACACACCTCGCTACGCATCCTTCTCGCGATCGCCGCCATGAAGAAGAAGAAGCTAAGGCAAATCGACGTCGCTAATGCATTCCTATACGCACCTGTTGATGCCGAGATCTTCGTCGAGCTACCACACGGCTCCAGCACGGACTCGAAACATGTCTGTCCACTACTCAAGCCACTCTAAGGCATCAAGCAAGCTCCGCGACTATGGCAACAATACCTACATGCTCGCCTCATTCGCATCGGCTTCAAGCAATTGCCGCACGACCAGGGCATGTACCGGCTCACGAAGGGCACCGACTACATCCTGCTAATTTTCTATGTAGACGATCTGCTCTACATCGGCTCAACTGACGACATTACAGCCTGGTTCGAAGGGGAGCTACAGCAAGACCTCACACTCACGGTCTCATCTACCATCACACAGTACCTCGGCCTCAATATCCGGGAAGAAGAAGACGCTATCTACCTCAGCGCCGCGAAATACGCCGACACCATCGCCAAGCGTTTCGCACTCACACCAACTGCTATCTCCACACCGTACCGCTACACGACAGCAAGCAACAAGGAAGGCTCCGCTCTACTCAAGCCCGCTGGCATATGCGACTACCAGAGAAAGCTGGGCTGCCTTCTCTTCGCTGCTGCCACCTACCGCCCAGATCTATCCTACTCTACAAGCCAGCTCGCCACCTACCTCAAGAGGCTTGAAGCGGAACATCTGGTGGAGCTCGACCGCGCTCTTCACTACCTTGTCAGTACCCCGACGGTCGGACTGACTTATCACAAGAACGCAACTACAACGCCTAAGCTAATCGGCTATGTCGACGCAGATCACGCGGGCGACTTCGACAACAGGCGATCACGCACCAGCTACATCTACCGCCTCGAGCCTATTGGACCTATCTCCTGGCAATCAAGCAAGCAAGAACTAATTGCTCTATCATCAGCTGAAGCAAAACATATTGCACTCTGCTCAGCCACCAAGGAAGAACTCTATCTTCGCGAGCTGCTGGAAGAAGCGAAGTTAGCCGAGTTACACAACTTTACCCTGTTCTGCGAAAACCAGTCGGCAATTCGCATCGCCAACAAGAACGGCTTTGCAAACAGGACGAAACACATTGCCCTACGATATTTCTTCGTGAAGGATGACATCGAGAAAGGAAGGCTTGAGCTGTCATCCTGCCCCACGTCCGAGATGGCAGCTGACCAAGAAGCTCGGAAAGCAGAAGTTCGAATACTGCATGCTGCTGACTGTACAGAGCCACGTCAGCGACACTCCAGAAGCGAAGGGGAGTGTCGGAAACAATCGTTCCTAAGCGCCTCTGTCGTCTCGAAACACTAAGGCACAAGCCAAGCAAAGCATATCGAGGCACCAGCGAGTCAACCCTCGGAGGTTGAAGTAACCGCTGGAGGTTACGCGAAAGTCAGGTCAGCGACCTTTGACCTGACAAATACAGCGCGACAGCAAGGACACACAACTGACTCGTTACAGAGCAGTTGCCCGAGTCGTCACTGTATCGAACCGCAACAGCAATAGTAAAGTAGTTATAACTGTGTCTCTTCATATTCCCTCTATTCATATATAATCTTGTATCTCTTTGCTTTAATCAACTTACTTTGCCCTCACATACTAGCGCAAGGTGGTTCACAAACTCTTTATTAGACGCTTCTGTTAGTACATCAACTCTACCCAGAATTCACCCCTGCAAAGATCCTAAGGGCTCTTTCAGCCCGACACAATGGCGGCAAGTTCCGGACGCAGAGGGTTTTATGGAAGATTGCCTTTGCGTTCAGGCAGCATGCAAGGATCTACACTCGGAAGTTCGGCTCGGCGCGGCGGAAACAGTTGCGGTGTAATTATGAGAAAGAGCGGACCATGCTTCGGACCATGAGAAATAAAGGCTGAAAAAACAGTGTCAGGCTTTGATTTTTAGGAACCCTGAAAATTCAGGGTTTTTTTTTTTTCTTAGGAACACTGAAAATCAGGGTTTTGTTCACAAGGACCCTTATGCATCAACGTCCCTTAAACTGAATATGAGGGCCTGGTGAATAGTGATTTGTCCAGAGAATACAAATGTCCTACAGTGCTTGGTTTCCTCCAAAGAAACAAAGGTTGTGGCAGCCACAGATTCGGTACTGTACACTTGGGAAGTCATGTCCACTTTCATACGGGCATTAATGAAATATGCCATAGAAATGCTTGATTTTGAGGGTTTTGCCACCGGATTTGCCACTAATGTCACTAAAAACTGGATCTGTCAATGTCGGCAAAAATGTTCTCACAGCAAACCAGAACGTTTAATAAATTTTGATAATTCGAAACACCCCACCGTGGTGACCAATATTTTGCAGCTCCGTCGCCTCGCATAATTTCGCTGCCCATGAAAACGGGTTGCCACGCGTGCTGCGGGAAATCATATCAAGACGATTTAACTGATTTTTACCAGGCTATCATCCTGACAGGACAAGGGAAATTTTATGGGTAATGACAAATATGTATCTGTTATCACGGAAGGCCACTTGGCAATAGCAAACGGTCGCAGAAGCTAGGTATATAAGAATGATCACACGGTTATCACGGATAGTTACTCGTTGCACCACGATGTCAAACTTTTATACTATAGTCTGTGTAGGCTGTAGCGGGGTAGACCATATAGGGTACAATATCAAACATATATGCTATGGTCTATCTAGGCTTTACTGGGGTAGACACTATAGGGTACAACATTTCTAGGTTTTCTACTTGTACCCACATTTTCCTTAGTCATTTCATTCCTCATTTCTTCACATGGTATAGAGCAGGTTCCCTAGTGGGAACTTTTCCTAGGGCCCACCACTGAAAATCGAGTTTCTTTCTTTTTCCTGCCCTGAGATCAAGTCGCCCCTGACCGAGGCGCGCCCTGTGTGCCGCCCTCCCCTTAGCGACCCGTCGCGTTGCCCTTAGCGGCCCCCCCTCTCACGGCCCCTCGCGACCCCGTCGCCGCCCCCTAGCGGCCCGTCGCACCGCCCTGAGCGGCCCGTCGCGCCGCCCTTAGCGGCCCCTTGCGGCCCCACCTCCACGGCCCCGTCGTCGCCCTCTCGCGGCCCCGTCGCCGCCGTTCGCGGCCCCTCCGCCGCCCTTAGCGGCCGCGTCGCCGTCCGTCGCGACCCTACAGCCGCTCCTCGCGGCCTCATCGCCGCCCTCTCGCGGCTCCAGTGCCGCCCTCTCGCGGCCCCAGTGCCGCCCTCTTGCGGCCTCGTCGTCGCCCTTAGCGGCCCCGTCGCCGCCCCTTGCAGCCCCGTCGCCGCCCTCCTTTCGACCCCTCCCCGGTCCCTTCAGCGCCGAGCCGCCGAGCCGCCAAGCAGCCAAACCGCCGATCCGCCAAACCGCCGAGCCGCTGAGCCGCCGAGCCGCCGAGCCGCCGAACCGCCGAGCGGCCGAGCCGCCAAGCAGCAAAGCCGCCGAGCCGTCGAGTCGCCGAGGCCGCTATCGAGCCGCCACTACTGAGCCGCTGCCGCCGAGCCACCGTCGAGCCGCTACTGCCACTGCCGAGCCGCTGCCACCGCGGTTGCAGCCCTGTTCCTACCGGCGAGCCCCGGCCCTACCCACCCGGACTGGTGAGAGCACTCCCTGCTAGACCACTGCTGTCATGGCTACCCTTAGTGTCCTTACCTTTGATGCTGAGGGTCGTGCTGTTGACTTCGAGGTCTGGGTCGATGACCTACAGCTCTTCCTACAGTGCGATAGGGCAGACGGACTCTCCTTGTTCGATCTCACCTATGGTGCCTCTCCTGCCCTGCCTGCTAATGCTGACAGCACTGTTCGCTCACAGTGGGCCACACGCGATGCTGCTGCCCGTCTTGCTGTGCGTCGCCAGTTACCGACCGCTGAGCGTGCGCAGTTTAGTCATAACAAGAGTGCTAAGACCTTGTACGGCGCTGTAGTTGCACGCTACTCTTCCCCTGCCACTGCTGCTCTTAGCCGCCTCATACTGCCGTACATGTTCCCTGACCTTGCTACCTTTCCCATAGTCGCTGACCTCATTACGCACCTTTGCACTAGTGACACTCGCTACCACGCTGCGCTTCCTGCTGAGTTCTGTGCCAAGAACCCTCCCCCCATGTACATCACCCTCTACTACATAGTCACCCGACTCCCTGACTCCCTTCGCTTAGTCAGGGACCACTTCCTCTCAGTTTGCCCCACCACACTCACCGTTGACCTCCTCGAGGAGCGCCTCCTAGCAGCAGAGAAGAGCATAGTCACTGTAGGAGCCTCTCGTGGTGACCCTCGTACCCCTATCTTTGAGGGGTGTTCCCCCTCCCCCCTCTTGCCCTCTGTTGCTTCTGCTGCTGTGGCCGACCTCGTTGGCTTCGAGTCGGTCGGAGCTGCGTCTGCCCCTAGCCGGAGACGCCGCACTGGAAAGGGCAAGGGGGGCAAGGGCGCTGGAGGGGCTGGCGGGGGCAGTGGAGGTGGCGGTGGAGGAGGCGGAGGGAGTGGGGGTGGTGGTGAAAGTGGTGGCGGAGGTGGGCGCTTCGGTGGCGGCGGTGGCGGCGGAGGCAGCGGTGGCGGTGGCGGTGGGAGCAGAGGAGGAGGCGGTGGGAGCGGAGGAGGAGGCGGTGGCGACGGTGGCGGAGGTGGCGGCGGAGGAGGTGGAGCTAGTCGGGGTGGCTCTGCGCAGCGGGGCAGCTTCGGTGGTGGTCAGCGCCAGCAGCAGCAGCGCACTCGTGAGACCCCGCCCCCCCAGCAGCTTCGTGAATTGTATGCTTCGCGTCAGCGGGGTGGGGATACTGGTCTCTGTACCTACGTCATGTGTAACGGCGAGCGTACGGGTGAGCAAGGCAGGGGCCCGCACCCCACCTAGCGCTGCTTCGGCCGCCTGACGGACGCCTGGCGTCTCCAGTTCCCTGACGCCACTGAGATCCCTCGCTGTGGAGAGCTGCAGAGGTTGGGGGTTGCTATCTTTGATCTTGATTATGATGCTATTCTTGCTGCCATGTATGCTGTGTCTACTAGTGATGAGGGTGACTGTTACCTATGTGTTCCGCCTGACCCGGGCATTGAGGCTGCTGCTCTAGATACTGGTGAGGCTGCTGCTCTAGGTGCTAGTGCGTCTGCTGCCCCAGGTGCTGGTGAGTCAGCTCTCTCAGGTACCACGTCAGCTCAGGCCTTACACACCTTCACCCTTGACTCGGGTGCTTCCCGCTCCTTTCGAGACCGCACAACGCTTACGCCGCTTAGTCGGCCGGTTGCTGTGAGGATATAGGACCGAGCTCAAAAAAGAGAATGAGATTTGAGTCGAATTGAATGATCACCTGGGTACAACACGAGGCTATATATAGGCTCCACACAAGGCCCCGTAACCAGGTGTTACGCGAAGGTTCCGCGAGCCGCGTAGCGTCCCGAACAGACCCTTACCGAATTCAGTGGCAACCAAAAAGGCCAGATTTCGGTGCACGTAACCTAGCTCGTTGCTATAACTACAATAAAATATAGGAAAGCACCTATCCTAGGAGATCAAGCAATTCATGCATGCATATGATTATCCTATGCTAGAAATAGCATGATAAAGTAAAGGCAAGCAAGCATAGCTGGCATAAGCCGTCGTACTCTCACACGTCCCCCCCTCAAAGCTGGGTGGCGTGAGATACACCTTGCTTGACAATATAGTCCTTGAGAGCACGGCGTGCGTTGCCCCTATAAGCTTCTCCAACCCAACTGTCCTCGGTGGGGTCGTATCCCTTCCAGCGTATCAGGAACTCAAGGGTCTTGCCGCCGCGGCGCCGACGAGAGAGAACGCGCTCGATCTCGTACTCGTGTGGAGGTGGAGGTGGAGGTGGCGGTAGCTGCCGTCCCTGGAACTGTTGGTTGGGGTCCTTGTAGGGCTTCAGTAGCTGCACATGGAAAGCATTGTGAAGCTTCCAAATAGTAGGTAAGCGCAAGCGGAATGTAACTGGTGTCACCTGTGCCTCAACGAGAAAAGGACCACAGAAGCGAGGCCGGAGTTTTGATGGGAGGTGAGACAGGTTTCAATTGCGCGTGTCAAGAAGCACCTGATCTCCGACTGCTACTGAGTGATCACGTCGCTGACGATCGGCATACTGCTTCTGGGAGGTCTGCATCGTGGTGAGTCGTCGCTGAGTCTTCTCCCATAGCTGCTGCATGGTGGTGACGAAGTCATGTGCGGCTTGGACGTGTGCCGGTGTAGTTGGCTGCTGTGATGTGAGTGGTTCCCATCCGTAACACAGGAAGAAAGGGGTTTTCCCTCTAGCCGCATGTAATGCGTTGTTGTAAGCGAACTCTAGGGTCGGTAACTGTGTGTCCTAGTGGCTGACGTCGTCCTTGCAAGCTGTGCGCAATAACTGTTCAACCACCTGATTGAGTCGCTCTGTGTGTCCGTCAGTCTGGGGGTGGTATGCTGAAGACATTGCAAGCTTTGTCCCCAGCAGTCCCATGAGCTCCTTCCAGAACTTACTGGTCAATTTTGGGTCTCTGTCTGAGATGAGTGTAGCGGGGATGCCGTGGATGGTGATGATGCGGTCGAAGAAGAGGCGAGCAGTTGCTTCAGCTGTAGCTGTGGCGTTGGTCGGTATGAAGTGACCCATTTTGGGGAACTTATTGATGACTACGAGGATGGAATCGTGCCCCCGTGAGGTCGAAGGAAGTCCAGTGATAAAGTTGAGGCTAACGACCTGCCATGGCTGCTTGGGTACGGGTAGAGGCTAAAGTAACCCTGCTTTTTTCTGCTTGCTACTCTTCATCCGCTGGCATGTGTCGCAAGAGGTGACGAACTGCTGCACGTCTGCTGCCATCCCGGGCCAGTAGTTATACTTCGCTATCCCTGCTAACGTCTTGTTGCTCCTGAAATGTCCCGCATAAGGTACGTCGTGAAATTCCTCCAATAGGATCTGCCGTAGCGGGGCGTAATTCGGTACCCAAATCTTTCTTGAACCCTTCCTTACAGCTAAGTCTTTCTCCCAGTGTAACAGCTTCTTGGTCTGTGCGGTAGCGATCTCTGCATCCACGGAGTACCCATGTTGAAATAGACCCTTGAGCAGAGGGTTCATCCCGTCGAGCTGGATGCCTGCTACATGTCCGGGGCGGCTCAATGCGTCTGCTTTGTTGTGTAGCTCGAGCTTGTAGACGATGTCATAGTGGAAGTGAGTTTCCAGGAAGTCCACCCACCGCACCTGTCGTCGTGAGAGCGCCGGCTGCAACTTCAAGTATTTGAGACTGCAGTGGTCAGTAGAGACTGTAGTCTTGGCTTCCTCTAGGTAACACCTCCACGCCTTGAAGGGTATGACTATCGCCAGGGCTTCCTTGTCGTGAATGAGGTAGTTTAGTTCTGCTCCGTGTAGTTTCTTACTGAGGTAGGCGATAGGCTGTAAACCGCGTCCGTGATCCTGCATCAGTACTGCTCCTACTGCTTGGTCACTAGCATCTGCTTCCACCACGTAGTCCTTGGCTGGATCCGGCAAGATGAGTACTGGCACTGTAGTCAGTGCTGTCTGTAGCTGCTCCATGGCTTGCTGATGAGAGGTATCCCATTTGTAGGGCGTATCCTTTTTCAGTAGGTCGGTCAGTGGGGCTGTTATCTTAGCATACTGCGGCACGAACCTGTTGTAGTTGTTGGCGAAGCCTAGGAACTGCTGCAAATCCTTCATGTTCTCCGGTACTTTCCACTTCTTGACGGCTTCGATTTTCCGCGGGTCCACGTGTACGCCCTCGGCACTCACCATGTGCCCGAGAAACTGCACTTTCTTCAGGGCGAAGTCGCTCTTCGACAGCTTCACGTAGAACTAGTTTTTCCGCAGGATCTCGAACACCTCCCGTAGATGCTCCACGTGCTCCTTCATGTTCTTGGAGTAGATGAGAATGTCGTCGAGGTACACCACCACGCACTCGTCCAGCAGGGGTCGTAAGATGTGATTCATCTCCGCCTGAAACGTTGCTGGTGCGTTGCAGAGTCCGAATGGCATCACCAAGTATTCGTAGGAGCCGTATCTGGTACGGAACGCCGTCTTGTGGATCGAGTTGACCGCCATCTTGATCTGCCAGTAATCTGATCGTAGGTCCAGCTTCGAGAAGACTGTTGCTCCACGCAGTTGATCGAGTAGGTTGTCTATGCGCGGTATGGGATATTTGTTTTTGACTGTCTGTTTGTTTCGTGCGCGGTAGTCGATGCACATCCGTAGACTGCCGTCTGGTTTTGGAGTGAAGAGAACTGGTGCACCGTAGGGAGAGGTGGATGGGCGGATCAGTTGTCTGTCCAGTAGATACTCCATCTGTTTCTTCATGTTTGTCAGTTTAGTCGGACTCAGTCGATATGGTGCACGTGAGATGGGTTTTGCACCTGGTTCCTCCACGATCTCATGCTCGTGGGTGCGTGCTGCAGGTACACTTGCAGGTAGGTTGTCGGGCATTATATCCTTGTACTGCTCCAAGACCTCCTTTACTACTGCAGGGAGCTCAGAACTCGGCTTCTCCTCTTTTGCTGCTGTCATGACCAGTGCTAGGTAATCCGTGTTACTCTCGTTCACCGTCTGTTCGAACCGTGCCAGTGTCGTTTTAGATACATCCCCTGTATCCGTACAGCTTCGCACTACTATCCGCTTCCTGTTGTTGTAGATGCACACCTTGCTGTTGACCCAATCGATCTCGGGGCTGAACCGCTTCAGAAAATCTCGCCCCAAGATAAAATCTAACCCTTTGATGTTGGTGACTGGTAGCTTCGGCTTCCACCTCAACGCACCTATATGCAGTTGCAGTGATGCTTCACCATGGATAGGAAGCTTCGTACCGTCCACCATGGTTGCTGAAAACTGGGTTTCTTCCGTCTTCTCTCCAATTTTCTCTAATGCTCCGCTGTCACACAACGAGTGAGATGCACCGCTGTCCACCAGTGCCCGGAGGCGTCGCCCATTGCATCACACCTCGAGGAGTAGTGGTTTCTATTGCGCTGAGTAGCCAAAGAGGGTCTCGTTAATACGATCATGGGGTACATCAAACTTAATACCTTCCCTTTTTCCTATACCTGACCCAGCGCTTTCCAACTTCACCTGGGGGGGTAGGAGGATTATTTCGAGGCTTGTATAATTTCTCCTGAGCCTGGATGTCTCCTCTAAGCCGTGGCAGCTGTGTAGGCTTCACCTGTGGGCAACGTGGAGCCTTAACACTGTGCTGCGGGGAGAGAATATTAACTCCACGGAACGCACGACCCTTTTCTACGCTCCGTAGTACTTTGCCCAACTTCTTAGGTACCTGAATAATTTCTAAAGGCTTTTTCTTGGCCTCTAAACCTCCCCTGAATTTTTTAAAGGCTTGAAAGCGACGAGAAGCAATATTCTTCGTTAGAGCATCTCTATAGGATACTTTTAACGAATTCTTACTTTCGTGGGTGTTCGGCTGGAGTTTCCCGGTCGGTACAAGGTCTTTTTCGCGGAGCCCCCATTCGCCTCGGCGATTTCCCCTGATGCCGGCCAGTCGTGACGTTTTAAATTCGCGCCATCATTTTCTCCCCTTTTCACCCGCTCCGAAGTCGCCACGTCGTTGGCTTTTCCTGCTTTTCGGATCCTCACGCGATCGCCAGGTCGATCCGCGGCTACTGGCGATTCCCGTTTCTTGACTTCGGGGGTGCGCTCCACTGTTTCCGTCTCGGAGTGCTGCACGTGCTTTCTTCATTTTGTAGCACGACAAAAACTGATGTCCTGCTGCGCCGCAAAATTCGCATTTTGTCGGTTGCTGCTTCTCGTCGTATTTGTCGATATCCATCGGTTCGGCGAACGTGGGGGGTGCCGATCGCTCCATGCCGAATGTACGGTTCGGCGTGAAGCGTCATGTTTCGGGTTGACCTCGAGTCAGTGCGTCGTATCGCTCGGCAGCACGCACGATGTCTCTGTAGCTGTTGTAATTCGCCGCAATCACCTGCCGCCGAATCTCTATTTTAACCCTTCGGTGTACGCCAGGATTTTTTCACCTTCGGTCTAGTCGGTGATGCGGTTGAACAGTAACTCCATCTGCTGCGTGTACTGTGTTACACTACTGTATTGCTTGTGTCGGTGTATCTGCTGCCGCGCCATGTAGGTTGTATTAATTGGTTCGAAACGCTCGATTAAATCTGCCCGAAACTGCTGCCATGTTTTCTCCCCGCGGGCTATGTCGGTGTAGTAAATCCATTCGAGAGCCGGTCCACGTAACAGTGTCGATGCGAGCTGAATTCTTGCTGCGTCGTGTTGCGGGGTCAAACAGCCAATGGCCTCGAAGTAA